TGGGGTTAGCCTATGCTTGCTGAATGGCTGGCAAAAAAAAGCGCACAGGACAGATCAAGACGACTCCCGCCACGGTCCTTCCCAGTGCATCGGTAAAGTGAGCTCTGAAAGGGGTGTTCTTCCCTCGCCTGAAGTCCACTGTCCACAAGAATCGTTAGAAGGAATGCTTTTGCAATTCCATCAAGATCAGCTCAGTTTCTGGCTGGACTCCCAGTTCCTCTCCCCGACCCTGCGACAGTGCATTGCATGATCCCAAAAAGTCCAAAAGCTTCCGCTGCTTAGGGACTGTCGAAGACGAAGTATGTTGCGTGGACACTTGTTTGTTGAGTCTGCGCAAACTCTCATCTGGAACATGCAAGCAGGCCACACCAAACAGCTAATTCGGGTCTTCCACCCTTGGAGTCAGTAGCACCTCGTGAGGGAGCTGTTATCACGAGGGGCGCCCATCTCAATACAGGTAGTGAATCGAGCGGCGACAGGTGACCGATCACACAGCCATAGTGCTCTGAGAAACATTCATATTGAAATGAGAATGGCCCCCACGATAACGAGAAGAATCACGCTAGCAAGCATGTTTGCCTCACAGAAAGCAGAACTACCGAAAGGAAAGGAGATGAGTTTAGGGCCCAGCGCCTCCTCGGAAGCGGCTCCGTGCAAATCCTCCTCCGATTCGTCGTGCTCGGCAATCGCCTCGTGTCTGCTCGCAGGTAGACCGCCAGTGCTTGTAGCAGGTCATACTGGCAAGAAGAACCAAAATCACAACACATAGCAAGCAAGTCGTGTTGCATCCAATGACTGCAGATCAGCTGAATGCATGTCCGTCCCGGATCCAGTGGGGCAACTGTTCCGCACATGCTCAGAAAGGTCCAGCACATATCCCAAAAATGCGATCTGCATCAGAACTCCTTTGAAAGGGGCTCTGGAAGTCTTAGCGTCAAGAGGCAAAAGGGTGTTGCAGCTTCACGCGTGTAAGTCCCTCAACCAAACACTGGCGATGCTGCAACATCGGACCGCCTGCACCCTCGCTGGTACAGAGCAGCGGAACCATAGCGTAAGATTGTCAACCTGAGACGCTGCGGTGGATGTGCTGAGGAACTTAGGACGGGAATTCTCTCTGCTACCATTCTCAGTGGCAGCACGCATTGCGCGCATTTGTTCACATGCCAACAGTTTTCAACCAAGCTTACAGTTGGGCCAACTATCTCCAGGCATTCACTGGGACTCAAACAAATCTCAGTACTTCAAATCTCAGTACTTCAATACTGCGAATAAGAAGCAAATGTGTCGCCATGTGCCGGGTCTGCCGGAACATGCCTGGTGCTGCTAAGCGCTCGGCATGCACATCCGCAATTGTCGATGACCACTCAAGAAGCTAACAAGCAGGTCAGCTGGGCGAAACTTCACCAACAAGCCGCACAGGCCCTGCGTGTCAGGGAGACCCTAGCGTAGCTTTTCAGCGTCACGGGCGAGGGTCCCACGCTCTTTAGTCAGTACTTAGGTGCTGCCAATTCGCCTCGGCCTCTGGCCGACAGGTGTGTAGAGCAAGCTGATCAGGATCCAGCCTTCTCCCCCTCTCCCTGCCCTCTCCCCCCCAAGACCCTTGGGTCCTTGAACAACCTGACACTCATTTTCTGGACGCCAGGATTGTGCTGTGCTGGGATGGACCATATTTTTGTTAGCGTTTACCCACCCTTCCACCCCCTCCGCCCCCCAACCCAACCCTCAAGCCTTGCCAGACTCTTCACACAAATACTTGCCTCCTTCTCAGCTGGCTGCCAAGGCGGACACGTGCTAGCGCTTAAAATTACTTCGAAGTGCCTGCCGTTTCCCGCCTGTCACCTGCAAGCAGGCGACCTGAAAGCTGCGATTGCTCAAGCGCTGCCTGGGCTTAAAGCAGAGCTCTGCCCAAAGGCGCCGCTTTGACTCCGGCTAATCCCGTCTTCTGACATTCTTCTACATACTTTCTAGATCAGCAGGCTAGTCAAGTTGAAGGGGCGGCTTCAATCCACGCATTATGCAAACCAGCTCAGCTGCCATTATGATGATGATCATCATCATAGCCAGTATCAGCATAATCATAATCAGCATCATCATCATCATCATCATCATCATCATCATGACCGTAGCTTGGTCCTCTTTACTGAACTTTTGACTTTTAGCTCCCTTGGTCCCTCAATAAATTAAAATTGCGGTACCCCAAAGGTTCTAAAGTGCTAAGGCTAAAGTTGTAGTAAGGTCACACAGGTGGATACGGATGCGGACGATTTTCTGGAGTCTCGCACCATTGCACAAGCTCAGGCTGAAACACGTGGATGTGGGGCGCAGCGGTCAGGTTCCAGGATTCCCGCCCTGACAAACAGCACGGAAGTTTGAAGCCGAACTTTTGATGCACGAGACTTCTGGTACATACTTGCAGCGCTCCTGGAACAGTGAGGCCCATGGGGCCCTCTGAGATGCGCAGACTGACAGATGAGCACGGCGCAACGACCTTGAAGCATGCGTAACACGCATAAGCGTCCAGCTCAAGCACCTTCAAAGGCCGAATTGCAGCTGCAAGCCCCTGGCCAGTGAACTCTGGTTTGCGTTGGCTGCTGCGAGTACCTTGCAGAAACTGCCGACGTCAAAGTGCCACTTCCAGACGTTCTGCATATAGCTTTCCCTTCGGATGGATTCGTGTTGTGAGAGGATCGTGCAAGTCTGTATATAGTTTATCTTGCCTTCGCATGCTAGTTGATGCTCTCCTGCCGCGCACTTCGCCCGCGTTCCGGATTCCCGACAACTGCCACTCCAAAGGCTTGTATACCTCGCTCGTGGCACTCAGTAGCATCATGTGGCACTAGAGCCTCCTTGCCATCAGTCCAGGCCTGGCCTCAAAGGGAAGAGAAGCCGGAGAGAGTGGTGCCGCATCCGCCTTGGTTTTTAGGTGAGGAAACATCCCGAGACGTGAGCAGTGCTGCAGTGCTGCAGGTTGCCTCTTGAGCCCTTGCGATGAGCTTGAAGCGTCCTGGCTCAAGAGGCCTGGCTCGACCGCACACCGACGTTGCGAGCAGTGCGGCGGGTATCTCGCCTTATCCTCAGTGTTGCGCAGGTGGCGAACTCGCCTGCAGAGTCCCAGCCGGCGCAAATGCAGACGCTTGCGCACTGTGTCACTCTAGCCATGCACAAGCTGTCCCCAGCTGAGCATTTGCAAAGGACAGGGTTGTCAAAGTCACTACGCTGTTCTGCACGCATGATCTGACTCGGGCATGCTGTCATGTACCCTAGCCGAAGAGAGCACCAGCAACGTTCAAGTCTCACGCCCGACGCCAAAGCAGGGAACGCACACATGACAAACAGAATTCACAAATGAAAAAAGTAGAATTTTCAAAAAACTTGGCTTGGCCCCGTACACTTTTTCTGCAGTCAGCAGGAAATTCGCAACCATTGTCAAAGAATGCACGCAGAGACTCTGCGACGAGGCTCAGGTCTTACCTCCTCTGAGTGTCCCCAAAAGCATTTGCAAGGCTTCGTCTTAGACCCTGAAAGCTACACAGCCACACTTCGCTCATAACCACCCAAGTCCGCCGAAGAGATTTACTTGGGTCCGCAAAGGTATAGGGTTCTTGCCGCTTTGAAGATGTGAGAAACACAAGGCGTTGTGATCCTGTCCGGTTGAAGGGACATTCCAAGAGATGCTGAAGACACGTATCGATAAGCGGCTGGCATGCCCCTTTTTTGTAATGAAAACTTCTTCCAACACAGCATGGCACGCAGCTTACAAGTAGCATTGAGCACGTCGCTCTCGGGATTGGGTAGCTGCATGAACTCTTCGGGTACAAGCACAACGAGCAACCCCTCAGCACAAAA